TACTTTCATTTCGCGGCTCGCGCCAACCGCTATTGCGAACGATTTATGTAGTTAGTCCGTTGCGTTTTGCCTTTTTTGGAATGCAGAGTAACTGGGATTTCTGAAATCTAGATGATTTAAGATGTACAAAATAGAATATTGTTAAGTAATGTCGGGGAACCATTTTTCAGCATATTAAATATAAAGACAAGGCTGTGATACAACCTCAGCCTACATACCATAAATAAGTGGGTAATATGTTTGTGGTCGGTGTAACTTCCACGAGATGTGGATCGTATCTTTTTATGGTGGATAAGATAAAAAAAATGAATAAAAACGGAAATAACAAGAATTCTTACCGCCCTCGGTATTAGAGGAATTTGAGCGAGGAAGAAGTGAATCCCTCCTTTATAAACATCCTCCGCCGAAAGTATACGCCACAAACTCCATCCCCGATATCGCAACTGAGGACATAATCAGCCCGGATCTACCTCGTTCCAACAATCCTTCTCTTCGCTCCACCAATTAGATAAGCGGCGGAGACCACTTATAGTACAGGAGTTACTATCCTTACAGCGAGCATATGCTAAAAGAAAGCATAAACTTCTCGACAGACATTCTCGTGACCCATCTGATTATTAGCCAAACTTAGATGATCATCAAGTATTAAGCCTAAGCCTTTTTTGAACCCTTGAGTTGACGTCCCTATGACGACCACCCGCAACCAAAGACCCAGGTACTACAACATTGCTCTATAAGCACATCAGGAACATATGAAACGCTTCATAGCCCCTTCTATATGCGATTCCTGAAAGAAGAGCCAAGCCCATTTATGAGAGAGGTTTAGTGATTTTGTAGTAGCATTTCAAAGTGAAGTCCGGTGTTCTCAACACCCTAATGACGCCATTCAGACTACCCGCAGAGGAGAGTTACAGATTATGGTGTAATTTATGGTATGATTAGCACAAAAGCCGTTCCTGACCTCTTGGAATCTGCGTTTTCCGCCCGGAGACTCATAAATTTTGACAGGTCATAATATAACGAGCGATATGAACAATATTGATGATACATTCCCGTAAACCGGTTCGTGTCTGAGATATGGTCAGTTCTGGCATGGTTAAATGTGTGAACAGAGCCGAAGAACACTAGTAGGCAGGAAAGAAGCGCGCGCCTAAAACACGGAGCCGCTAGACAACGGATTACTCCTCGGTAGGAGACGTTGTTAGCGAATGCAGTTCAGATCGTTACAAACTTAACTACAAATTTTATGTATAAGACCGCCTATAAGTGTTAGGACAGATCCCCAAAAACTATCGCAATCCAAGAAGAAACGACGTTGGAAATGGTCAAACGCCAAAAACCCGCTTAAGATTTTTGCACTTTCGCTATTAGGATATCATACAGGTCGAAATCAAGAAGCCCAAAATCATGCTTATAACTATAGGCCATATCTCTCACACAAGAGTATTGAAATACAGTTTAACGGAAAAGAGCCGGCCAAAGATCAAGATACTACGCGCTTTTGCGATAGAGTGTTCTGTCAGGCCTACTGTATCAACCCTAAAGACGGATAAAATGCTTGTAGCTGACCCTAACCCATACACTCTAAAGCCAGGATTTGAACTAAGTCTATTCGAGCCAGGACCTGAGTTGAAAGAATACGTAGTTTCAATACCAATCCTTGTTTTTCCTGCGCAACAATCCTCTCTTTTCCAGTTGAGAAACCTTATGACACGGGTCGGCCCGGACCACCAAATATAGCCTAAGCCTTAGGACGAACACTGGCGCATAGAAACGCCGCCGAGGGTCAGAGACCTTCACGATCTCCTTTCTCGGAGACCCACCGGGCGACCAACATGCGCGCAACGCTGTTCCACGACTGTGCGATGGAAAGGGGTCCCTCTGATAACACCGGTGAACCATAATAAAGCTAAGCATGCCCCTGTAGCCAGTAGCCAAGACCAAGAAGGGCAACAATCGTACCAAACAACAATTTCACCAAATGCTGTGCCTCGCGCTGTAGTACCAAAATTCGGAGCCCACTTTGCATGGTTGCAAATTTATACCAGGTGAAAAGACCAGATTTACCTCCAAGTGTCTTTGCCACCTCGGCTCGCGAACGTATAATAAAGCCCGAAATAAAACTTTATCCCTCATCCGAACAGCGTGAGGTTGCTTGTGAAAGTCTCGTAATGTAGTACGTTGATAGAAGGTGTATTGCGTTTTGAAACATTGTACAAAGTAGTCAATTAATATCATTTCAAGGGCATATCATAGAAATTTCAGAAGATTTGACTTTCACATCTGAGGATTCCGAGAAGTCTCCTCAGTTTTTGTTTCCAAACGATCTTTGTGTTTGTATTTACTTTAAAGACACTATCATGAATAATACTCGAATTTTTGGCGTTTTCTAATTTTTTGTGTTTTACAGAATTTTCGTAATGTTTTGTACTCTCTTTCATTTTCCAGACCATGGTCTTTATTACCTTGAAGCGATGGCTAAGCTGGATGATCCCAGAAGACGACCCACCGGATTATAGTGTATCCAACCAAAAAAAATTTGCACACCAACCAAATGACCATGGAAAATTGCTTTAATGTATTTTGTAAAGCCATGGAAGGAAACCGCCGGGGAAGACGTGAGACCACCAGCCCGTCGACGCGTGCCTTTATCAGCAACGATGCCGTGAGCAATGATATGTATTCGAAAAGACTATATAGATAGTACTCATTTGGGCGAAATAAAACTGAACAGCACAGAAATAATCTACAAATCTTACTATTAAGAGCACGTATATTGGACGGAGCCTAACTCCAGCCAATGTACCAGCCTAAATAGCAACTATTGCATCGTTGAACATAGCCTCAGAATTAATATTTTTTGTAGTCACGGTTAGCGATAATTTTTTTGCTTATATTAGACATTTTGATAGAAGTCAACAACTCATGAACGTAAAATATAAAGCACAAACTGCAATGCATACTCTGATGAACCCCGAAAGAAATCTAGAGGAGATATCGCTGAACCGTACAGTTGAATTTACTTCCCGACGGAGGCAGCGGGGTGTCCCACATCGGGAGAGATACGACCCGTGATACTACCCCTCCCAAATGTTATATCGAGCTCCTCACACTCGTGCCTAAGCTGAGAGTCTGAGAAAACACAAGGACTTTACGCGAAAGAAAAGGACAACCCAACCAAAGTAAGTGAGTTTGTAACCAAATTGAAAGGACATTTGTGAGAACCGCCAGTGGAGGTCAAGTAAAGCCCTAAATCTATTTGCATGACCAGCAATAGTTTATAGTAGAAAGACAACAACCGCCGGCAAAGCAAAGCCCGTGGGGCCTGAGCCTTACCAGGAATAACGCAATAAGTGAACCACTGCAACACCGCATAGAAATAATGAAAGTATCCTGAGCTAAACTGTCCGTAGCTTAGACCGAACAAAACTGCTGCGGGAAAGGGGGAAGTCTCTATTCGGATAAAACTCCGTTTTCGGAGGAGCCCAAAGGATATATAACCACCCAATAGCGCCACACCAGAGACGACAAAAGCAAAACACAACCATAAGCCCATGTTTGCATTTCACAGAGTTGACTCTGAATTTCTGGCACCTGCTGCGCCGCTCACAGACAACTACCTGCGGTGATCCTCGGAGCGCTCAGGAAATACGTCCTCACAACTCGGAGACCATGACACGACTATGAGACCATGACACGACTATAAAAATAAACAATTTTTTTCACCATCAATCATAACATATGGGTCATTAGGTGTGACTTGCAGGTATTCACACAGTTTTACATTTGTGCTACTCATATCACACACTATTGCTAGTACACTGATACCAACATGTTTCAACTTCAGTATAAATTGAATTAAAGTTCATGAAGAGTCACGAAGGGTGTTGTAGATTTTGATAATGCATATGCAATATGCTGTTCCCAATTGCTAAAATCTCCTCGAATGACAAAAAAAACTCATGAATTTCTTGCTGGTTCCATTGCCTTTGTTTCTCCATTTGTGTCGTGAAGTCCAATTACCTCATCTATTTTAATCTCATACAAAAATGACACTTTAATGCCATTTCATCGAAGCATATAATGCACAATGTGTCCCTTTCATTCGTGCATGTAGTCTTCAGGGCAAGGAATGAAAAAATATTTTCATTTATGCCACATTTAAGATGCACAGAACTCATTACTCTGTTTAGGGTTATCCTTGAAGGTTATGCAAAAACAGAAGTTAGTGACCTATACATTCGTGGACCTTTAAATGTGCAGCATAAAACATAGATTTTTAAGTTCCGGTGAAGTTTTCTAGCGTTGTTTAACCTGCTGTTTAACAAACATTGCTGCCTGTTGTGGTAAGAATTTGTCACAGAGTGTCATAAACTATTTACTATTTATACGCTGCAATAGATCAGAACGTTGACTGTTTATACTGAAGAGTTTCTTTTTTAATTTGCGGTTTTCCTTCAGTAATTTTGCTTTCCTGGGTGTGTAAGCACTTAAAACTTGTTTTGTTTGGACACTTTTGTCAAAGTTATGGCTAAATGATGGCATATTTTCGAAGCTATCATCCTGAAATTGTAAAACTTTTTTTTAAAATTATGGATACTTGTTAAAAATTGCAAAAATCATTTCCATTCTTTTCTCTTCATGAATTCTTTCCCGCCAAAGACGTAGATTGATCTGTGTCTGTACTGAATGTGCCACAAATTTGGTCCATGGTATTCTAAAAATGAAGAGGAATGTTTTTTCCTTTTGTGTTCTACAAAATGTGTCATTGTAGCTACTTATAATAGTGTGTATATTTCATAATGTATTGTAAGCTCATCACAACGAAGTGCCGGAATATTTACCTCTGAAGACTTTGATTTATCAGTGTCTACTATAGAAACAGTAAAACTTTCATTTGTTAATTTCTGAAAAGACGTAGTTTTTGCTGTAGGTTTTATTATTTTACAGAAAAAAATTGAATAGCTAAGAACAAACATTGGACAAAGTGAAATATTTACCTCAGAAGATTTTGAAGAATCAACCTCAACCATGGAAAAGTCAATACTTTGTTTCACTGCATTCTAAAAAGTTAAAGAACATGAAGTATTTTTAAAGTGAAATATTTATATTTTTCTTTGGACATGTCTACTTGAAGTATGTGTTTCAAATATTATGCATTTAACAAAATGTTAAATTCTTACCACTGAAGATTCAAAGTTAGCCTCAATATTGAACATGTTGATATTTTCATTCACTGTATTCTAAAAAGGTATTACAAAAGTACATTAATTTATTTTGCTAATTAAATAATTGTAATTTGTGTAAGTTATGCCTATTTGCTTTGTATTATTATATTTCAGATAAATCACATACATTTTACATTTAATCATAAACAACATACATACGAATACACACAGAGTTCAAGTGTTTACCTTGGTAGATTTTAAGTAATCAGTCTGCTCAATGAAAACATTAAAAGTTTAATCCAGCACATTCTAGACATTAGTTAAAATTTGGCAATTAAATAATTCTCAAGCTTATTTAGAAGTGTTAAATATATGTTTAACTATTGTAATTAGAATATCACAATTATAAATAAAAAAATTCACTTCAAAATTTACTATTTACCTCTGAGAAGTTTCTAGAGTTCAGCCTCTGCCGTAATATTTCTTCTTTCATTAGCTACATTATAAAATAAAATTAAGTGCATGAATTAATTATTTCAAATTATTATGAAAATTAAGATATTAATTTTGAATGAACAAGATAATTATATATCAATTGTTTCTGAAGGAGATAGAAAGGAAATTTGAGAAATAAAAGCTCCTTAGAACTTAGTAATGCTTTCTTTTTTTAGGGCAATTCTTCAACAGAAATAATAATAGTAATAATAGTAATAATAATAATAATAATAATAATAATAATAATAATAATAATAATAATAATAATAATAATATTTTGTCATGGTGAATAGGGTATGGAAATTTTCATTTTTTATACACCTACTTGAGATATGGCTTCATCTTGACCTAGTAAATTTAATTTTTGGGATAGCATGTTGTTGTAGTCGATTTTTTAAGTTATTTAAAAACATTATTTTCTCAATGTGATTCCCACAAACCCGTGCGCTGTTGTACAACGTGCTTACGATAGGAAGTTGGTCACTTCGGTGACACGCTGTAGCCCACTTTTTCGCCCTTAAAGAGACTAGTGACCATTCAAGTTTGGAAAATATATTTTAAAAACAATTTATTAAATACTTTCTTGACAAAAAATTGCTGTTTCGAACACGTAATTTAATATTTCAAACATAATTTTATTTGATAACCAATTTGTACATAAGTGCGTACTATATTTAAACTGATTTTTTTACATTAATTTGATCCTACACTTCAATTCTTTTTATTATTCTATACATTTCATTCAAATTTCACGTCTTTTAAAGCAAATTTAAAACACAAACACACACATACACACTTACCTTTCCACATCTTTTGGAAATCGGAAGAAACTAAACTTACAGATTTTGGTATTAATTATTTTTACATGTCTTTACAGCACAAAACAAATAACCACGTTTTGAAGTGCTTGGCAAAAAGTGACGTCGATGCTAGTCTTGGCTGGCCAATAGCAAACGCCGAGCCGTGACGTCACCGTTAGGCTAGATTGATGGTGGGGGAACAGTGTTCTGACTGATGTGAATGTAACATCTCCCTATCCACTCCCCATGCGAGGCGAGGAGGTAGCTGGCGTTGGGCGAGCCGAAGATGCCCCGTTAGGTTTAGATAATGCACCATTGCCGTAGCCGGTCACAACCGATGGACGGCGCTTACTTGGAGATTGTGAATTATATTCCGCGCATATGTGACGAATCTTGAACTCCAAGAATTAAATAAGTTCTCGCTACTGGCTTACGCAGTGGAGAGAATGTATTGTAATGCTTTGGTGAAAAACATTAGAATTTTCTACAAAAATACAAACTCTTATTGCCAGCCCCTAGTAACGAAAATGGGGATTATGACGATAATGGGGAAATCTGGTCACTATACTAGTAAATTACTTTCTCTAATATGTTTTGTAGTCAGAATCCGTGTTTTGTGGTTTTTTAAAATACTGAAAAATCGATTGAGCAAAACCTCTGTCTGTCCGACTGTGAACAACGCTAGTAGCTAAATCGTAAGCTCGATATTCACCAAAATTGATATTCCCCAGTCTATCTTGCTGATGATGGGAACTCTTGAATTGGAAACCGATATTTTATATTTACTTGAAAGGGGTGCTTTATATGAAGCCCCTGGGACATTTTCGAATAAAAAAAATTGCTGCATCTGTTTTTATTAAATTTTGTCATTAGCGTAAATAACTCTTAAGATAACCGAGCAGGTCTTATTTTCTTTGAAATCTCTGATTTTTCGAAAATTGTTCACATTTTTTCGATGTCATCTATAAAAATGAACGAAGAGATTGTTTCTTTAAATGCAATTTATCCATAATTTGTTCTTTCTTTAATGGCAATTTTGTGTAAAATATGGGAAATACTAAAAATATATTAGAAACAGATTAAAAACAAGAATTTTTCAAAAACGGCTCCTAATTTTTTCTCAACACTTTTGGTATGGATAGTGCTGAGCTCGATATTTCGCATTTTAAGAAACGCTCGAACGCCTGCAAAAACGGTTCCTGTTTGTTCTTTCAATTTTTTTCAACGGATAGTGCTAAGTTCACTGAATAATATGATATAAATGCCACTTTGTTGCATTCTCTTGTATTTTAAAAAATCTTCAGATGAAAAAAACTCGGTGGTTTCCGCAGAAATATTGTGGAACTCCATAACTGTAATATAACTGGAGGAAAAAGAAACGATATTCACCGGCACCGGGTGAGAAAAATACCACGAATCCTGTTGAGCATGTTACTTGTTTTTCCTTAATATCCTGTTGAAGACACTGACGTTGAGGAAAAATACCTCAAAACATGATTGTCTGACTGTGAAATGCTGTAACTGACGTATAGTTAGTTAATGAAATGTTGAAGATCATTTCTTGTTCCTCCCGTTGTATTACAATTCTTCACATGATTTCCAATTCATTTACTCGAAAATTCAAAAGTTGTCCGTGAAAAACTTCAAATTTTGCATTTACATTAACCTATAAACGACATTTTCTGAAATAAAAACGGCTTCTAATTGTTCAACGAAAATTTCCATGTGTGATGTTTTACTCTTCTATGACATTCTTAATTTCCACCATTAGGAAACCGAAAAATTAAGAAATGGGAAGAAAAATAGTTTGGTCGGCGATAGATGGCATCTGGGAAGAGGGTGAGGCATAATTGAAAAGCTTGTCCAGACCAAAGAAATTAGAAATATAGCGAAAACAAGAGAGTGTGTACAAGCAGCACAGTAGTTGTAGTTGAAAGTTGAAATTGTAGTTGAAATTTGAAAAAGTTTACCCTTTTTTTGGTGGGGTCCTGCAACTACGAGAATGAAGGTCAATTTTGTTTCCTTAATGAAATCTGTTCATTCAGATCTTCAAAGAAGGTAATGTTAAATTTTTCGAGAAGATGAGTAGTTTCTACGTATTGTTTGTTAAATTAGTTCTGTTGCAAATTAGAATTTCCCGGTCACGATTTGCTATGGTGCGTCCAATGTTTAGTTTGAAGTATGCCTTAAGGGCTTTTCCGGTAAAGAAATATTCCCATCCTCCGTTGTAAGTTTTCAAACTTTTAAATTCTCATTAACATAACTTTTCATAACAACAGTTGTAATAGTACAATTATGCCTGGAATACAAAACATATTTACCGCAAATCGTGCTGAATATATTTAGAAGTTATTAACTTTTATAGAAGGGATACGTTCGGCGGTTTGATCAACCACAGCATGTTGCTGCTGTTACGTCATAGTGTATTTACGAAGTTTGCATTTCGTTTGTTTACGTGTGTTTATTCGCAGGTGTTTCGTCGCTGAGTTATTTTTACTTTCTCGCACTTATTTATATTTATGGTTTTTAATCACGTCAAAGTTCAATGTAATATCGTTTACTTTTCTTTATATTGATTTTTAGGTTGAAGGTGAGCTGAACCCGACTGAAGCCGGAACGGACCAGACTGGGTCCACACCATGCAATAGAAGAAAAGGAGATGAAGAAGAATATTTTTAGGTTGAGGTAAGTTTATTTAAGTTACAAATATTTAAATTTAATTTTTTTTCCTTCGCAAAATTAATTTAGAATGAGTGATTCACCATCAGTAAAGTGCAAAAGTAGTAAAGTAACAAAAACAAATGGTTATTAATGTTTACAACTATCTAAAAGGAAATAATCTAGGAGAATTTGCAATGGATTGTGAAAGAAACAGCGGCAGCAGTCAATGTAAGTTCAATTGTTTTTGCAAGAAGACAACATGCTGCAAGTTTTTCGATTACAACCAATAAAAAGAGAAGTCGATGCATTCCAGTCAGTGCCGAAGAAGGGAAACAAAACACGACGACTTCGTGCGAAGTGCAATCCACAGGAAAGTTTATATAAGTGATTTTACATGAAGATTATTCTGCCAACAATAAAAAGTATTCTTGCGGCAGTGAACAGCGACAATCTTTTTTCAATCTGGGAATCTATATAAATTTAAAAATATTATTCTCCGGTGTTTCCCTCTTTTGTGTCTTCCGAGAGCAGATCGATCATCTTCATCCTGGGTCAATAAATCCTCTACATTGTTAATTACGTTCTCGAAAAAATTTCCTGTATTGTATTAATAATTGCAATTGTAGAACTGGTTAACTTCACCCAAAGTCATCACTCATGACGCAGTTGGTGGAGAAAAAGGAACTTTTAGAAGGTGTTTTTCAAGATTTAGATGAGAACTTACTAAGTTTTTCACGACATTTTATAAAGTGAAATCTTTCCCCAATTTGGTGGCAACGCTTCTTCTCTCAATGATTGATTTAAAAAAAAATGTATCATAGTATATCATCGAAAGCGGGGATAGTGTGAGCATAATGATTTAAGCACATTTTGAAATATTTGTAATAAACGGGAATATTAACATGTCATCATTTCATCTCCACATGTTGCTTCGCGCGCTCTCTATCCGCAACTATCTCCAATGAGTAAGTTTCGGCAGTCGGCCGCGGCACCGCGCGCGCGCTGCAGTCAAGTAACTGCGGAGGCTCGGGAGCCTCTTTGTATTTTCTGGGCGCCTGGCATAGCCCCGCGAGTCCCGCGAAACACGGACCAATAGAAACGCCGCGCGGGATTTTGTCGACCAATTATGTGCAATGGCGCGATCCACCCGTGGCCTTAGCATCTCGTCTACCTCTTTGACGCCCATGCTTAGTGGATACTCTTGCGCGGTCTTCAGTCTGCGCGCGTTGCGGTGTGTGTCGTCATCGCTGGAATTTGAATTTTGATATTTTTTTCTTAAGAGATTCTTTTTTGTTTTCTTCGTGTGCAGTCGGTTTAATTACATATTTTATAGTTATTTAAATTAGTTCCATTATAAACAATTCTTAAGATTTGATTTAAGAACTGACTCGTATAATTGGCAACGACGCGGGACGATAATTTCCCCCTAGCAAGCGCTATCGTGTCGTCCGTCCTCTGGGTGCCGAGAGGGCTAGTTCTGACTTTACAAACCTGATCTGTTGCATAATATAGCAGCAATGTAATATAAACTAGACAGACATCGGAACTTCAGACACAAACAAGTAATGATTTAGGCACCTGAAAATGGTAACAAGATGACGAAACTATTAGGCATGAAAATAAACGTTTTGGCACTTACAATAGGTTACAAAATGACTAAACCAGGTCAAAAAACATTAGGCATAAAAAGTTATGTTTCTGGCATCTAAAAATGATCACAAAAATATTAAATTATGCCCTTTTTATTATGAAGTAAAGGTCACGTATTTTTAGATTTACGAGAGAGACTAGAAACAAAATTTTCTATTCACTTTCATAGCATATTTAAAGGAGCAAACAAATTTAGTCACACATGTCTTGCCCATTTCTTCCGGAACTTCTTCCCCCCCCCCCCCCTCACACACACATATACACTCACACAGACACACCACACACACACAAATTTGAACCACACGATCCTTTAACCATTAAGGCCGCCCCTAAATTACGTATCGCAAATTTGAATTATTTTGAACACCCCCTCCCCCTGTAACGCGCAATTGACCCCCCCCTAATAATCACCTAACGCTTGCAACAACCCCATCCCCTATGTAAATGCAAAAAGTGAAAATAAATTATTGTTCAGTAAAAGAGTATTCATGACAATCATTCAGTAACAACTTCTATTATCCGCGCACGTTTTCTTCAGCGTTCGCTTTTCTAGTTGCGAGAAGAGTGGGGAGTTTTGGTTGTTTTGATGAAAGGAATTTTATATCAAATTGGTAATTTGTTTTTAGTTACAAAATATCTCCTATTATACGGTAGAGAAAATTTCCGGTTATCAGATTTTGTCTACAACGCTTGTTGCTATCATTTATTCTTAATTCAACTAATGTGGGCAAAGGAGTGGGGGTAGGTATCCCGGGGCTCAAGAAAACGTGCTTGTATAATAACGTAAAATAATTTTGTTACAAAACAAATTAATTAGATAATATTTTCATGTTGTAGTGTGACAAAAAAGGAAATATTTCAACAAATCTTTAAAAAGTAAAACCATTCCAATGTTACATAACACTAATGGAATACCTCCATACCCCTATGTAACGTAGCGTAACGTTGCCTCAAACCCCCTCCCCCCCTCCTTAGGTAACGTAATTTATGGACGGCTCCATTGGTCCGTAGGGTTTTGCAAAATAAGTGCGTGCTGATCTGAGACGAGCGTGAAACATCCTCTCTCTATTGGCTGTCAGAGCTTGTGTTGCGCGAGAGATTTCGGAGCAGTCGATTACGTATTCGATCAGATAGTATTTGGGTTTTGGGAAATTAGGAAAAGTATTTGCGTTTCGGTAAAAAAAAAAAATTAAACAAATTAGTAACCAAATAAAATATGATAATTCTTCTTATTTTAGCCAGCTTGAGGCACAAAATATTAAAATAGCCGTCAACCCCTTTTTAGGACATTTAGACACTATTACATTCTTTCAGTAGATCCTACTTTTTCATGATCCTTTGACATCTGTAATCATTGTCCGCAACATCCTGGGGGAACTAAATAGGCATTTGCCTTAAATCCGAGGTTAAGTTATAACAACCTTTATCGAGAAAAGGCGTAGCAATTTTCCATAATGTTTGTGTTACATAAATAAGATAATATAGCTAACAAGCAAATTATATAATAATAATAATAATAATAATAATAATAATAATAATAATAATAATATAATAACCAGAGCCCGTAAAAAACTTGTTCTAGAGAAAATTCGGCAATTTCTGGCAACAAAAGAAAGACGGCAAAAGAAGGCAGCCTTAGCAACCTCGGACCGAAGGATCACGGGTTCGAGTCCCGCCTCGGGCATGGTTGTATTTGTGTTCATCCTTTCACACCCTACCGTCACCATAAAAACTAAATTTAAAAAAAATAAATAAAAAAATGAAAAATAAATTTAAAAAATAAAAATAAATTTCAAAAATTAAAAATTAAAAATAAATTTCAAAAATAAAATATAAAAAAATTAAAAATAAATTTAAAAAAATAAAAAAGGTAGCCGTGGAAAGAAAAAGGTCTTTCGAAAGGCTAGTCCAGACTAGAGAGATTAGAAAACTAACCAGAGCGAGAAAGTCTGTGCCATTCTATTTCACCACAAGTTATATTTATTTAATTATTTATTTATCAAACGCTGTTACTTAAGAGGAGATAAACTTTAATAAAACTATTTCGTGCGGGTTTTCAGAAAATATTCTTAAAAATAGCGTATTTTCAAGCACTAATTAAGCGAAATCAGCTCATTTTATCAAAAAAGAATTGGGCATGGCCTTTTTTAAAGACCTGATTTTATTTACAACAGACGTTCTTTAAAGCAAAAATCGCTATCTCCAATTTTGTAGTTTCCAAATGTTAACGTTTTAGCATTTTCGAATAAAAGGGACAATACCCGAAAATGAGACTAGCATCATTCTTTATCGTCTCTTCTTATTACATATATGGAGCAAATTTAAAGAAAAAAATTGGAAGGTGTTTTGAGAAAAAAAAAGAAGTGTCTATATTTCGCGCAATATTACACGGAAACTACTCAAAGATTCGAAAAAGAGTACTGGAAAAGCTCGCACACATGATAGAAGAAACACACATCACAAGGATACTAGAGAATGTTCTTGCTAACAACAAAGTAAACATATATGATGTCTGTATCTCTAAAGACATCAAACTAACGGAGTGATACAGGGGGACCCCATAAGCCCCATTCTGTCCAACTTTATTTACTAACTGCAGACATACCAAGGATAACAGCACAATCAGCAAACATCCCTACACATGTATGCAGATAATCTGGTGATAGTGTCTACCAGCCTAACAAGCCTCCAACACGCCATAGACAATTTAGAAGCATGGGCGGGCCTCCAAAACAATAAACGCAAGACGCAATAAACGCAAGACAGAGCATTTGACCTTCCGAAAAAGAGGAAAAATAGCAGCAAGTAAGCAAAACAAATTCAAGCACAATTAAATATCTCAAAATTGCTCAACATTACAAACGGCTGCGTTAAACATTATATAAATAATGAATGAATTGTCAAATAAACTTACAAGTAGTTTCTGAGAAAATGTTCCTTATGTCAAAAATGTTACAAACAAACAAACATCATCATGGCGAGCGAGATGGTGATTGATTCCGGGTCCCCTTAAGAGCTGTCTAACACACTAATACGGTCAACAGGAATGTGCAGAAGGTGCGTTGATAATCCACACACAGTGAACAGAGCTCTCTTGTGGCCATTTCTTGCCTAAGCGTGCTTACCGCAGCAGGAGATTATGTTCGCCGCCCAAAGAGTGCTCTAGCATCAAGTAGCTCCTCTTGTCTCCTAGGCGCCGTGACCTTGGTTGAAGGAAAGCGGCTCAGGTTAAGTCTGTCACTCGCTCTCGATGAACTTATTTTTTTTATTTATTTATCTCTCTCTCTTTGTTTGTTTGTTTGTAATCAATACGATTTTTTACTAACCTAGTGTAGTGATTTGAATTTTGCGTTTCAGTTTGTTTTTTTTTTTAAACTTTTAAAATTAAGTAATACCCACCAACAAATATCGTTTGAATTTTAGAAAATAATTTTCAGAACCACGATTCCATAAGTGAAACGGAATATGCCCGTGAAATCTAAAATGCAGTGGTCGAAACATATTTATGAAGTTTGTATGTATGCTCACTGTTATTTGTTGTTTAATTAAATGTAATTTTGTGTAAGAAAGTACTAAACATAGAAATTTATGAAAAATACAAAACGCTATGAGTTAAAATAAAACAAAAGCGTGTCTGTAATGCAATCTTACATTTTAATTGAAATTGAAAGTTTTAAATTACCATTTACAGTCAAAATCAATTAAAATCCCATATTGAGATCGTGAAATTGAAATTACAGAAATTACCTAAATAAATACTCTTTGGTCGGCTTGTGGATGTAGAGAAAATATAAGAAAGACATGCAGTTGTAACAATGAGTCAAGTGAAGCTGAAATCGATATTACGTTCCCAAAATAAACAAAATATCAAGGAGGAATATTAGAAAATGAACATTAATTCATGCTAAGTCTAATATTTCCTATGCAACCCAAAGAGTCATCATTTTTTGGAGAGTACCTAGCCCATGTGTTCACGCAGTCGAGAAAAGTGCCTCAATGCTTGCGTACAAAAACAGGTTATAGTGAAACAAAACTTTGCTGTTCGTTATGAAACCTTTCTAATTTGCCGTATGCATTACAATCATTCTAAGAATGAAGGCTGTCGTGATACAAAAAAAATATTAGAATGAATTGGCCCAAAGTCCAAGATGGGCGTAGATCAATAAGAAATTAAATCCTGTCTGTAAAATTGCATTAACAAACTTCATTCAAACATATACTTGTACCGATGTGTTTTTAGAGAAATCCGTCGTATCGCAAAAATTTAAGCAATCGGGCCACCCAAATGCCCATTGCCCCTCTCTCTTGCTCTGCTTGTCCTTTCATTCCGCCTCAAAATTTTACAATTCGATCAGCCGAATTGAGTTATTGACAACAAACAATTGGCCTCCCACTCGTTAGTCGCCTAATATTTCCGGAGGGGTTATGTGCAGCCTAAAGCGTACCTCCTTCCCGTTCATGGGCGCCGGGTGTCGTCTTTCGTGTGGCCGCTTAGGTCGTGTCGCCCTCGGCCGCGAAGCGCTGACGTCAGGAATAGCGAGCGCAAGGAGCAGACGTTGCCTGCCACCTCTTCAAACCGTC